ATTCCTTGTGAAACTTTTTCCACACTCCATACACTGATACGGCTTCTTCCCAGTGTGGATCCTTTTATGATAGACAGGGCTATTGCCCTGGCTAAAACTCTTTCCACATTCTATGCATTTATATGATTTCTCCCCTTTGTGGATAATTTCATGAGATATAAGGCTTTTGGAGTGACTGTAGCTCTTTCCACATTCCTTGCATTTGTATGGTTTCTCTTTCATGTGGATCCTTTTATGGGAAATAAGCATGTCCTTCCTCGTGAAGCTCTTTCCACACTCCATGCATTTATATGGTTTTTCCCCTGTACGATTTCTTACATGGGCAGTAAGTTTATCGTTCCTTGTGAAGCTCTTTCCACTCACTATACATTTGTATGGATTCTCGCCAGTGGGTTTCTTTGGATGGGAAACAAGGTTACCGGAGTAGTTGAAGTTGTTTTCATAGTCCTTACATTCAAATGCTTTTCCCCCCATCTCATCTCTCCAATGAGGAGGGCAGCTCTGATTATACCTGTTCCCTTCCTGTCTCCATTCACATGGGTTACTGAAGTTTGATTGTTCTTCAAATATTTCATCACAGCCTAAATACCTTCCCATCCCCTCTCCATTAAGATCTTCTTGGGCCAGCAAATCATAGATTTCCAGAGAAAAAGGAGGATTTTTCCCCCGTGGATCATTTAGCTGGATTCCGTCTTCACTTTTTGTTTGCCATTGATTCTTTTCTCCCACTTCAACTTTTAGAATCTGTATTGGTATCTCTTCTGATTGCTGATAAATCTCATTCTTCCGTTCATTGCCTGCTTGAGAGAGAAAGAAACAGTGGGGGGGGAAATACAGTTAAGCCATCTGCTAGGAATGATAGTCACCTAACAGTTGGGTTGGAAATATATAAACCATGATAGTAATTTAATACTGTATCTTTTAAGAGAATGCTGTAATTGTGATTGGCTGAGGTTCCTCCAATGGCCATAAGATGGAGCCAGAAACCTGGTTTCTTTCTCCTTGCATTTCCTGTTTTGCCGTATTGCCTGATCGTTCTTTTACTTGGATTGCAGTGAGTTTTTGCAACTGTTAGCAAACTCAGTTTACTGAACTCTGTTTATGATACTTGGCTTCATTTTTGGATTATCCCTGGACTGATACTAACTGCTTTAACTGTGTATGATTTGGACTGTTTGTTGGACTTTGTTTACCCATTTACTGAAAGTAAAACTTACGTTTTACTATTCAGTGTATCTGTATGCTGGTCGTGTGTTATTCAATATCACTCTCTGTTGAGGTAATTCCCCGTTAGGAGAATGAACGCATACAGGGAGATGTATTTGAGAGGAGTGTTTGAATAATACACATACAGCACACAGATACACTGTACAGTAAATGTAGATTTTTACTTCCAGAAACGTTAAGCAAAGTCCAAAATAGGCAGTCCAAAGTCATTCACAGGTAAAATCAGTCAGTTTTCATCCAGGGATAATCCAAATATCAAATTCCAGTGTCAAAAACAGTTCAGTATCAGACTTACATTAAATCCAGTAATATCGGTCAGTTAAAAGAAATGGAGCAACAGCAATACTTTCCAACAGAAGGAAACAGAGTAAAAGGAAAGGTTTCCTTGTCCATCCTCTCTTGGCACCCTCAGGGTCCGAAAGGCTGATTAACTTCATTGCATGTCCCAGGATTCAATGCCCGTGGAGACCCAGACCACAGATTTGTTCTGGATGCATCAGTTCCAGCTTTGCCTTCCATCCCTCAGAGCTGCTCCAGCTCTGTCTTTTCATTGTAAGGGAGCTGATCAAGAAAAGGATAAGCCCTCACAATGGACAAACGGCTGCAAAAGTTGATGGAGTTAACAGAAGTGGCTAAATTCACTTGCTTTGATTAAAGAAAACAACACAATTCACTTTGTTTCCACTTGGAAACCGCTTTTGTACTTGTTCTTGGGGGAGGGAATGAAACTTTGATTTTAAGTTTTGCTGATTAGAAAGAATTGTTGTTATATAAATGGCTAATCAATCAATCTATCTATCTATCCACACACACACACATAAATATATATTAAAAGTTATATATGGATATAGATAGAGATAGATAGATAGATAGATAGGTAGATAGATAGATAGATAATAGAGATAGATAGATAGAGAGAGAGAGAGAGAGACAGACAGACAGACAGACACATACATGCATGTAAAAAGTTGAAGTTTTACGTTACTACCTTATTCTACTGCACCCAAAGGAGTCAGAAGTCAATACTTTTCTCTCTCCCCTCTTCCCCTACACTTTTTTCTCTTCCCCTTTTCCTTCCTTATCTTCCCTTTATTTTCTTCTTTTTGTGTATTTTGTTATTTTATATTTTGATAAATTAATCAAATATTTCAAGAGGTAAGAAAAGAACAAGCCACATGGACCTGCTGAGATGGAAAGAGTCCCATGTTGGAACAAAGGTTGAAATGGAGGTGGGAGATAGCCAGGACGCTTCTTGCCTTAACCATATTTGCATTTGCGGGTGAGGGGGGCACAGGAAATTTTCCTCCTACCTGCCCTGGAAAGCCAACAGCTGCTTCTGCATTATCGGAAAGAGGAGATGTTTCTCCTATCAGCTGAGATATGTCTCTGTTCTCTGCCCCTGAAAGATGGGAGGAAATAGACTTTTAAAAAGAATGCTTTAGACGTTCAGGGAAAAACTAGAAATAAATGCTATTGTAGCACACAGGCCCATGAGTTTATTTTAAAAGATTAGGAATAAAACCCTCTGGATGCTCTTAAGAACTTCAGTGCAGAAGGCATCCCTCCCTTACCTGGTGGCATGTCTGGATTCAGATCCTTTGGAGAAATTCCTCCAATGAAATTCTCCTGACAAGGATTTAACGGATCACATCTTGCCTTAGGATGCTCAGCCATCAATTCCTGAAGGAGCGCCTCTATCTGCAACTGTGAAAAAAAGCAAAGAAAGATGTTAGAAGTACCACATGTGGGAACACAGAACCATCTATTTTAAAAAATATTTGTGGGTGGAAATATAAAAATGCCTCGAATATTCCACACTGGCATTATTCCATCACTTGTAAACAACTAGATCTGCACCTCTCCTTGCTCCTTCTCCTCCGCCTGACTCAGGAGGAAGCCTTCAGCCAGAGCCACTGCCTGGGAACTGGTTTCGGCTCCACATTCCCACAACCAATGTTTCATCTGCAGAGGCAGAATGGCCAGGAACTGCTCCAGGACTACCAAATCCAGCATCTGGGCTTTTGTATGTTTTTCTGGGTTCAGCCATTGATTGCAAACTCACAAAATTAACTCACAACACACCATGTATGTAAATATTGATTTTTGTATTTAAAAAAAAGAGCAACTTTTACCCAAAGTCAGGCAAAGCAGGCAGGCAGATTGAGTTGCTCACAGAATCATTCAGTGATCTACCTGCCATTGGCAAGATCAATCTCTCAAATTTGCTTGCCATGAGTCTGCACTGAATAATATAACCTTCAGTCCTAAGGGAGGTTCAGCTGTGCTTAAAAGCAGAGCCGAAGATCTAAAGACTAGCTAGAAAGCAAGAAATCCAACCATTTCCTGCTTCCTAAGCTAATCTAAATCTTCTGGCACAGCAGAATAGAAGATGGCCAGAAAAAGGAAAAATACCAATTTAGCAGGCAAGTTTGCAGGGTAAGGAGTGAGTGGGCGGGGAGGGTTCCCGTGCGCCATGTGGGCAGCACAGCCTTTGTTTCTGCACAGCCTGGTTTAATTGCTTTGTGGGTGAGTACCCTGTGGGTGAGATGCTCTGCGGCCCACCAAAATTTTCTCACGGCCCGCCAGTGGGCTGCGGCCCATCGGTTGACAACCACTGGACTAGATAACCTACAAGGTCCCTTCCATCTCTATTAATCTGTAATTATAAAAATGGTGTAGTAGAGTCTCCTGCTTGGGCAGAGGTTGGACTAGAGACCTACAAAGTCCCTTCCAACTCTATTAATAATCTGTAATCTATAAAAGCCATTTTTTTTCAGTGCCATTGTAACTTTGAACGGTCACTAAATGAACTATTGTAAGTCAAGGTATTGAGTTCCCTGCATCTTCCCACCCAGCGAAGGAGGCGGTCCTCAACTTAGATTTTTTTTCGGATGCTCCACGTGAAGAAAACAGAATATTTTCTCCAAGCCTTTCCGAACAATAATTGATCAAATTTCGGGGGTGAGGGCACCGATTCGGCCAACTGTTGGGGTCCCGGATCTTGGGATTCACTTGGCAACCGCGGAGCCCAACTACATTTTTTTTATTTTTTATTTTTATTTTTTCATCGTCCCGGCTTTTCCCGGGCTTTCTCGTCCAACTTTCCCCCTGCTTTTTTTTCTCCAGGGGTAACGAAAGGGCAACTTTCGCTTTCCATCCGGAGGGAACCGCACTCAATCCGCTCCTGGAGACGATCAGACAGATTTATCTGCATTCACGGCTGAGTAGGTCGACAGGAAGTGAGTGTCTGGACTCTCTAGGAAAAAAAGTCATCTTCCACTCACACTTCCGGGAAGCAAAGATTCGGGCATTCCTCGCAGAAACATGGAGATTTGGTGAGGCTGGAAGCGCCTTCTGAGCGCTCAGCGGCAATATCTGCGTTGCTTCATCACAAGAAGCGGATGTTCCGATGAGGCTCCGCGGTTGGAATAAAGTTTCCACTGCCTAGATCGCAGTGGCTGGGGAAACGGGTGGGTCGTGCTTCCCCCGTTTATATATTTATATATTCCTGATTGCTTCCCCTTTCAAGGGATGCGGGCAGGGAAACGGGCAATTTGTCGCATCTCAGGAGAGAGCAAAAGCAATCCATTGTCTACAGAATCTACAGAAGTGAAAGCTGAATTTATGTATCAAGAGGTTTCAGGTGATCTCAGAAAGTTTCAACAAACCCTATGGGTTTGTTAATAAAAGTATAGATCTTTTTGTAAAACTACGTGAAGCTGTTGGAGGATCTGCTTTTAATTACTTTTTAAATGACAACTTTGGTCCCTTCCTCCTGCGGTGTAGAGCTGCTATAGACTACTGTACTGTAAACGATGCAAAATTAACTAAGAAAAATCCCTCAGAGGTCAGTGTAGAGCTCTGCCAAGAGAATAGCAGGAAGGGACCTCAGAAGTCTTCTAATACAGTCTCCTGCTCAAGCAAGAAGCTGCATACCATTTAAGACAAATGATTGTCCAATCTTTTTTTGGCTTCCCAGCCGATAAAATTATCTTGTACTCAAATCTCTCAAGGATTCTCGGAGCAAAGATTTGCTTGCAATGAGAGAGTTCCATTTAGGAGAAATAGAGTCCAGTCCCCCATCTAAAAAGCCCTTTGATTGCTGATGGTCTCCCCAAAACATTAACTCTGGTTGAAACATTATTAGAAAAAAAAATTGGGGCTAGGATATAATATATGTCATATATTAATACTCTTTTTCTTTTTGATCATAGATTGGGAGCTGGATGTATGCTGTTTTATCTGCAAACCGTTCCATAGAAACAAAAACTTGTCGCCAAAGAGAGCTCACCGGTCTGTTTGGATTCCTCACTGGACCTTTTCAGACATTTTGATTCTATAGATGGAAGAAGGTTTGGAGTCCCTTTACCCATTGGGAATTTCGATTGAGCATAGGTGGAAAATGGATAGAAAAACATCAGAATGTGAGGGAACAGCCGTAGGCCCTCTCCTTCCGAGGGAGACCAGTCTGAACATTTGGGAAACACCCAAACAGAAGATCCCAGATGAAGAAAAAATAAGCACTGACATCCAGCGACAAATGTTTAGAGAGTTCTGCTACCAGGAGATTAAGGGCCCCCGAGAAATATGCAGCCACCTTCATTATCTTTGTTCCCAGTGGCTGCAGCCAGAGAGAAATTCAAAGTCTCGGATACTGGACATGGTGATCCTGGAGCAACTCTTATCTATCCTGCCCCCAGAGATCAAGAACTGGGTCAAGGAATGTGGAGTGGAGACTAGTTCTCAGGCAGTAGCTCTGGCAGAAAGCTTTCTTCTGAGCCAATTGGAGGAGAAGAAGCAGGAAGAGACAAAGGTCGGATTGTCCCAAGAGAGTGATAATAAAAATCTCAAAATTTAAGTATACAGTTATTTCAAACCATTTTGGGGCTGGCCATATAATAGTCTTGACTCAGGCCAGCCTTAAAATGGAGGGATCTTGCTCTTATTGCCCAAATTAGATGGGAGCTTAAGTTTCTCAGTCCTTTCTGTTATTAATTATATGTATAAGGAAGGAGTATAACTTCTTAAAGTATTGGTTGCCTTTTCTGAACATTTCGCAGGAGTTGGGAGAAACCCAAGCTCTTCTCCCACAGATGAACCTGGAGCAGAAGGGGAGGTGAGAGGGAAGTTGGAAATATATTTGTCCAATTTACGTTAAACCCATTCCCTTCTGATGTCTACAGTTGCAAGCGAAGACGTCCTGTCTTAATTTGGTCACTGAATGCTGTGAAGGAAGTGGGAATCTGTTCATACCTTCTAGGGATCCATTCTTAGGAGACGTCTCCCAAAAGGATCCAGTTCGGGACAGACCACCAGGTAAGGAATAATTTATTCTAACGGCAAAAAATGATCAAGAGCTCTCCAAACTACAGGTAATCCTCAACTTACAACCATTCATTTAGTGATCGTTGAAATTACGATGAAAAATGTGACTTTTTCATACTTATGACCATTGCAGTATCCCTCTGGTCTCGTGATTTGAATTCGGATGCTTGGCAACTGGTTCATGTTTATGATGGTTGCAATGTCCTAGAGTCATGTGATCACCTTTTGCGACTTCTGACAAAGTCAGAGGAAAAGCCAGATTCACTTAACCAACTGTGTTACTAACTTAACCACTTCAGTTATTCGCTTAACAACTGTGGCAAGAAAAGCCATAAAATGGGATAAAATTCACTTAGCAAGTTTCTTGCTTAGCAACGGAAATTATGGGCTCGGTTGTGGTTGTAAGTCAAGGACTATCTGCACTTCCATTCATGAGCTTCTTTTGCAACCGAACTTTGCTCCTCTTGGCACAAATTATTTAGATTCCCCCAGAATATACTGTATTAAGTATATTCTTTAAAAATGTCAATTTCTTTCATCTTTGTCCTCCCCACAGAGAACAAAACAATGAATCCGCTCTCACTAGGAAATCAAGCATCTCTTGCTGATGGAGTGGAAACAAGGACTATCCTTCCAGCTCAGGTAGGAAGAAAATTTTCCCCCTCCTCGGAACTGCATACGTGATTGAATTAAAATGCATTCCTTCAACTGCTAAAACTGTATTTCTAATCTAGAATCAGTCCTTTTCCTGACCAATAGCACTGTATGAATGAAGTTCACTTGATCAGCTGCCATCCAGCCACCTTCTGGAATAGGAGCAGCTCTGGTGGATGTAAGAAACAGCTCAGGATGGGGAAAATCTGGAATGATATTTTATTCATGCATTAATCGATCAAATCCTGTGGAAATATTAATCAGCCTTTATCTCCAGTGTGATTTCAGCCAGTGGACGTGAGCTATGTCCAGTAATATCCTTAATTCTGAAACTTGTCAGAAAAAAAATATGTTTATTTTATTGCAAGTTTCTGCTCTGGAGATTTCTTAGAGATCTTGAAAGACTTCTCAGTCTGTCTGTTAATAAAGAATTTATTTATTCCTCTTTCAGGATTCCATATCCTTCAAGGAGGTGGCCATCTATTTCACCAAGGAGGAGTGGGCTCTGCTAGACCCTGATCAGAAAGCTCTGCATGAAGAAATCATGTTGGAGACTTGTAGGAATGTGGCTTTTCTGAGTAAGAGTTTCTTTGCTTTCTGTTCAAATAGTTGGGTTAGGTATTTTCTTGTTGGACGGAACCTAATTATTTGTAGTTTTCTGACCTTCTTGGTAGACCAGATCAAAAAACAGATCCTGTGGGAATTTCACAAATTCTGTTTTATTGTGCAATGTAGGAACAGAAACTTGAAAGTTTCTGTTTGTGCCCTCTCCTCCTAAACAAAGTTAAGGCAGGTTTATTTTGCATTCCTTTTTCACACTTGCTTTAATCTCAGGTCATTCCTAAATTCCTTTAGTAGACATAATGTCCAGATATACACATTGCATATTGGGCTGGACGGAAAGTGGTGCATTGCAGGGGTCTTGACATGCTGTCTGGAGGCTGCCAACATCTGGGTGGACTAAAATAGGAGCACACTCAAGAAAGATAGAATTATACCAAACTAGAAATCAGCAAGTTCTAAAATGATTGTCCCCAAAGTGCTTTTCCAAAAGACAATTGGGACTCCCTTGGTTTTTTCTTGAAAACATTTCGCTTCTCACCCAAGTTCTGAAGAAGCTTCTTGGATGAGAAGCCAAATGTTTTCAAGGGGAAAAACAGGAAAATCCAGTTGCCTTTTGGAAAAGCACCTTTGGAGCAATCGTGACCTGGATGATTGAGAATCTCCATGGAAACTTCTGGAATAATTCACATTGTGATTGCAGGTGGGATTGTGCTCCACAAAACAATAGAATGACCTGCAATTTGACAGCAGTGGCAACAGATGCCATGTAGGTATTTGCCTAGCTTCAGCAGGTGTGACTGTTGCAGCCTTTTAGGGAAAATAAGGGTTCTGTGAATGGCTCATGCTATTGTCATTTCTTAGCTAGATTGCTGCAACTCACTCTACATGCAGCTGTCCTTGAAGACCAACCAAAAGCCTTAGGTTCAAACATGCGACTGCATTATAATTAATATGCTAAGAAGCTGCACTGGATACAAGTTACTTTCTAAGTGCAATTCAAGGGGTTTGTTGTAATTTTTTAAGGCCGTGAACATGTCCCTAAAAGATTAAGTGCTAGAAAGAAGTACAGTAGTACCTTGATACTCAACTGCTTTGAAACTGGTTGAATTTGGTACTCAAATGAATTTTGATACAAAACATTTGTCCTGGTGGTCATCATTGGCTTGGTACTCAACACACCACCTAGAACTTGTCAGTGTCGGCGGTCTTGTGACTCACTACATTATTCCTTACGGGAAAATTTTGTTTGGTACTCGTTTTTTTGTATTCATCATGCCTCCTGGAACCAATTAACAAGGAATACCAAGCTACCGCTGTACTTCTTTAACACAATGTAATGATAATTTGGAATATTTTGTCTTGATTCGTTCTTTTTCTCCCAAATAGGTAACGAGCGGAAGAACAAACAGGAAACAGAGACAGAGCCATTGCGAGTCATCAAGGTTGAAGTGGGAGAAGGGACATTTCAGGATCAGTGTCCCTCAAAAAATCCAGAGGAAATTCAAGTAAACATTCGGAGGCATAAAAATACCCATTCGTGTCCTAAAATCTATGACTTCCCGACCCCCAAAGATATTAAAACAGAGAGAAGGCGACAGTGTTTAGATTTTCAGAAAATATTTGAAGATCAATCCGATTTAAGCGAACAATGCGAATGGAAAGATGATGGGGGAAAGTACAGGAGGTTTTGCTCTTTTACTTTGCATCAACAAGATTACCTGGGAAAGAAACCATTTAAATGCAAAGTATGCAGGAAAAGCTTCAGCAAGTACAGTAAAATTATTGCACACGAAAGAATCCACACAGGGGAGAAGCCATTTAAATGCATGGAATGTGGTAAGAGCTTTACGCAGAGTAGTCACCTTACTTCCCATAAAAGGATCCACACAGGAGAGAAGCCTTATAAATGCTTGCAATGTGGAAAGAGCTTTACTCAAAATAGTCACCTTACTTACCACAAACGGCTTCACTCGGGGGAGAAACCGTATAAATGCACCGAGTGTGGAAAGAGCTTTGCTGATTCTAGTTCCCTTCTTGTGCACAAAAGGATCCACACCGGGGAGAAACCTTACAAATGCACGGAATGTGGCAAGAACTTCACCTTGAGTAGTCACCTTACTTCCCATAAAAGAATCCACACAGGAGAGAAACCATTTCAGTGCACGGAATGTGGAAAGAGCTTCAGTACGAAAAGTTCTCTTAAATTTCATAAAAAGATCCATACAGGAGAAAGACCGTATGTATGCGTGGAATGTGGAAAGAGCTTCAAGCGGATCGCTGATCTAACTCGACATGACAGAACACATAGAAAAGAAGTTCCGTACAAGTCTACCAGGTGTGGTAAAAGCTTCCATAACAGCCGACGCCTTACGTCGCGTGAAAGAATAGAAGAGCCATTTGAATATAGACAGTCTGGGGACGAGCTTCCCATTGATTATGTTGACTAATTACTAATAAACGAGAATATATTTTAAAATTTTAATAATTAATAAAGGAAACTAATAAGCAGTGAAGTGTGACAGCTCTTAGCAGCCACATGCTTGGATTTTCTCCGTTCAAGTCTGTCCTGAGGTATGGATGTTAATCACCACAAAGAATTCATACAAAGGAAATGCTGTATAAATTCACTGAATATGAGGGGGAAATTCAGTGAAAATATGTCTCTCTTTTTTTCTTTTTACAATCCTGTAATCCCTTTTTTTGGACTGGACTGGACTGAACTGGCCAGATGCCCTTCCTGACGTCTACATGGAGTTTACAGCAGATATTTTCTCTTTGCACCCTGATAGAGAAACATCTGCCACTACCTAGGGTTGAACTCTTCAGCCTTCTGCGAGGGAGGCAAGCATCTTCACTTCTAGCCATCATGCTAGTGACATTTCTCTTATTTCCCATAAAAAGATCCACACAGGAAAGATGTCTTAAATGTCTGGAATGTGGAAAAAGCTTCAGAGGAGTAATCTTAATGCCTGCAAGAAGGATCCACAGAGGGGAGAACCGGAATAGATGCAGTTAATGTGGAACGTGCTTCAGTATTAACAGATTACTTTATAGGCAGTCCTCAACGTACAACAATTTGTTTAGTGACTGTCCGAAGTATCACAGCACTGAAAAAACTGGCTTAAAACCAGATCTCGCACTTATAACTATTGCAGTATCTGCATGATCATGTGATCAAAATTTGGGGGTAGGCAACGAAATATGTATTTATGATAGTTGCAGTGTTCCGGAGTCATGTGATTATCATTTGTGACCTCAACTGGCTTCTGACAAGCAAAGTCAATGGGGAAATCAAGGTTCTCTTAATGATGAAATGATTCATTCAACAGCTGCACCGATTTGTGGCAAAAGGTGTAAAATCAGGTGCAACTCACTTAACAACCGCTTTGCTTAGCAATGGAAATTCTGATCCTAATGGTGGTGATAAGTCGAGGACTAACTGTATATATGAAAATAAAGGCCAAAAGGAAAGAAACCACACAAGTTACGGAGACTGAATAGAACTTTGTTCATTGTAGTAACCTAATTTCCCATAAATGAAACCACACGGAAAATAAGTTCTAAAGTATGGAAAGTGCTTCAGGTGAATGTTAATTTTGCATGACCTCAAAAACAAAAAAAACAGGAGGAAACTGCATACTACAAACATCTACTAATTTTTGATACCTTGAACTATATCTGGTCTTTGATGGTGAAGTTGACTTTAGAAACTGAATGGATCCAGAACACAGTTTAATTTTAACTTCCTTTTATTTATCTTTCATTTGTCAAAATTAAATGAAAGGGTCCTAAAGAATTAAAAAATAACAACTTGGTGGATTTTGTGGAATGATGGTTGAATTTTGCTACAAATATTAAAGGTAGGTGAGAAGGGAACGTTCAATATTACTGATTGCATTTGTAAAGGTCTTACTTATTACTACTTCATTAGCACTTGGTGAACTTCGAATGTTCTTTGAAACTAACCATATTCCATCCTGGTTATTAATTCTTGGTGGGCCTGGAAGAAATTCTAGTGTTGTCGGCAGAAGGATTTCCAGGTTGCTAAAAAAAATTGAATACAATCAACCATTGCTGAGATCAACTTACCTTTAATTATGTTTTACATGGTTCATTTGTAATTTGTTCTTGCTTGTGTATTACAGATGGATTTTTCTATAAAACTCTTCAAATGATTGTTACGTGTTCACAGTGTTGATAATCTAATTCAGTCAGACTGCTTAGGAACTCGGTTTTGTTCCCTAAAAGTTATGAAGAAAGAATCTATATATAGTCTAGGGCCATGATAGTGAACCGCTGGCACGTGTGCCACAGGTGACATGCAGAGCCATTTGTGTGGGCACGCAAGCCCCAGCCAAACTTACCTGCATTGCACATGCAAGCCTCCCACATGATTTTCGGCCTGTTTGAGGCCTTTTTCACCCTCCCGAGGGCTCGAGAGAAGTCTCTGCAGCCTTTGGAGGCCGAAAAACAGGCCTTCTGGAAATACCGGAAGTGCCAAAACCGAAAGTATCAAAATGGGCCCATTTTTTGGCCTCCAAAGGTTTGCAGAGGCTTCCCTTGAGCCCCCGGGAGGCAGGGAAAACGGCCTCAAACGGGCTGAAAATCAGCTGGGAGGCATGCGCAGTGCAGCTAACGGGGGATGTTGCACGCGCAGAAGGGCAGGGCGCCTTGCATTGTGGGTGTTGGCACACGTGCGCTTTCAGCACACCACAATAAAAACCATCACTGGTTTAGGGCTCTATACTTTTACTGTGTGTATTACCTTTCAGGCAGAAACTCTCACCATTTTCAGGAGGGGCTTTTCATGTTTTCATTGATACACTATTAAACTGGTGCTGGTTCTTCGTGACCACATAATTTTTTCCCATGGTGATCTGCCCCTAATGTGTAGTCTTTCAGATCTCATTTTATGAGTAATGTACGATTGATTTTTGCTTTTCTCTGGGGAATCTTTTCTTTTTTGGATTGTGGATTCTGACAGGTGCTGACAAAGCACTAAGCAGTAAACTGACCTACCAGTAGTTTGTGGTTGATGTAAGTATTCACCATAGTGAAAATCAAGTTATGGTGAGATGTTCCCAAGGACTTTTTTAAACTTGTCAAATGGCCTACTTGGTTTGTTTAAGAAAGAAAGAGATTGAAAAAAGACCTGAAAGCATGAATAGAAGAGATGATTCCACCAGACTGTCAACTATTTGGAAGCCTGCACTCACAAACAAAAAAATCTCCACACCACTAGCCAGGCAAACAACTGGGCACAAACAGATCCCCCCTGATACCTCCAGCTCAAATACACCCCAACCAGGCACCCAGATGAAACCTAGCTTCCTAACAAATGATAGCCGTCCATTTATTTGGAGCCAAGTTGCACTAAAAGCCTCCAATATAGGAACACAATGTTGCCAGCCAATCAAGACACAAAAAAAGCCACAAAACAGACAGAAGATATTAGAAACACCAATCAAGCAGAACACAGCAAACTCCAAGACCAATAAACAGACCAAGACTCCCAACCAATCAGAATGAAGAAAAAACCATTCTGGCACAGCAGTAGGCTAGCCCCAAATTTAAAACTGAAACAGCTGTGATAGTCTGACTCACAGACGAACACAATACAAAAGCCTGATGATGGCAGATGAGATTCTGCCGAAACGTTGCTACAACTTTAAAAGCCCAACTATAATGACGTGGGAAAATACCCGAACAAAGCTATTCATGTAAGTACGCGTGAAAACTTAAGAAAACAAATATATCTATCGATCAATCGATTGATCGATAGATATAGATATATATGTGTGTGTGTGTGTGAAATACCACTCCCTCATCATCACAAAATATCCAGAACCATAAAGTCTACAAACTTGAACTTTGGTACATACAGTATGTTCCTCTGGGCTTCTAGGTGCTCACTAAGAAAGGGTTTTTTGAAATGACCATCAGAGCATTAGTATTTCATATATTATTATTAACACGCTCTGATGCTAAGGAGTTCTACTCCCCCTCCCCACCTGAAAAGAAATCTATTCCAAATGCAAAACACAAGCAGAGGAGTTCCAGTTTCAGTTTCACAGCACTAAGCAGCTTTAGTACAGAACAGTTAAGCCATGCCCAAGCTCCTTGCTGTCTCCTTGCTCACACAGCAAATACTGTTTCAGTTTCCGAACAGCCCTTAACTCTCACTGTCAGGACACTAGCCAGATGAATACCGATGGATGCTGGTAGGCAGAGGCAGATTTTTTTCCCCTTATTTTCCTCCCCCAAAACTAAGCCTGATCACACAGTTTCGTAGTGAAGCACAGGTATCCAGCTAGTTTTTAATATGTGGAACAATGACAGTGAGGGAGGTACATTTCTTCTATAGTATAATTAAAAGATTACAATAATAAAGTGATAAAATATAGCCTACCCAAGAACTGGACCACAATAACTTTCTGGGACCTCAAATTGTCTTATGAAGTTCTGTCTTCTGGGCAAATCCATGACTTTTTTTCTTTAGTATTTAATCAACATAAATAGGCAGAAAATTTAATTTCCAAGCATTTTACCACAATATGTTTAATGAAAAGAAGGACTAGGGGAGACATGATAGCAGTCTTCCAATATCTCAGAGGCTGTCACAGAGAAGAGGGGGTCAACCTATTCTCCAAAGCACCTGAAGGCAGGACAAGAAGCAAAACTCATCAAGGAGAAAAACTCATCAAGGAAAAAAACAACCTAGAACTGAGGATAAATTTCGTGACAGAACAATTAATCAGTGGAACAACTTGACTCCAGAAGTTGTGAATGCTCCAACACTGGAGGTTTTCCAGAAGAGATTGGAGAACCATTTGTCTGAAATGGTATAAAGCTTTCTGCATGAGCAGAGGGTTGGACTAGAAGACCTCAAAGGTCCCTTCCAACTTTGCTATTCTATTCTATTCCCATTCCCTACTCTTCTCTTCTTATTCTCTATTCTATTCCTTCTTATTCTCTATTCTATTCCTATTCTATCTCTATTCTCTTCTCTCCCTCTGTTCTATTCCTATTCCTATTCTAGTCTTTTCCTATTCCTATTCTCTCTTCTCTTTTCTTCACTCCTCTCCTCTTCTTATTCTCTATTCTATTCCTATTCTCTCCTCTCCTCATTCTCTATTCTATTCCTATTCTCTATTCTATTCTCTCCCTCTATTCTATTCCTATTCTCTCTCCTCTCCTTATTCTCTATTCTATTCCTATTCTCTATTCTCCTCTCTCCCTCTATTCTATTCCTATTCTATCTTCTTATTCTCTGTTCTATTCCTATTCTATTCTATTCCTATTCTCTTCTCTCCCTTTATTCTATTCCTATTCTCTCTCCTCTCCTCTTCTTATTCTCTATTCTATTCCTATTCTATTCTATTCCTATTCTCTTCTCTTCTTATTCTCTATTCTATTCCTATTCTATTCCTATTTCTATTCCTATTCTCTCTTCTCTTCCTCTTCTCTCTTCTATTCCTATTCTATTCTTTTCCTATTCCTATTCTCTCTTCTCTTTTCTTCTCTCCCTATTCTCTCTTCTCGTCCTATTCTTCTCTTTCTCTTCTATTCTCTATTCCCTGTTCCCATTCCTTTTTCTATCCTATCCTCTGGGCACCAAGTGGGCACTTCCTGACCTCGATTCCTGCGGGCGTTGCAAATGGCCTTCGCTAGATGGAGCCCTCCTGCAAC